TCTCTCTCCTCCTCTCTCTCTCTCTCTCTCTCTCTTTCTTCCCTACGTCTTTCTCACTTTGTCTTCCACAACTGCTCTTTTCTTTACTTTTTTTTTTCTTCTTCTTCCTTTTCTTTATTCAGTCTCCCCCCTTTGTTTACCGTCTCTTTATCTCTGTTTACCTATTATTTCCGATTAAACACGGGAGCGTTATATTTTTACGTCCTTTACGTCTCTTCTTTTCTTCCCTTTCTCCATTATTTTCTTTCACTTCTTTGTTACTGCGATCGACGAGTAGATTCCACGATGGTCGAGTTGATTTTTTCTTTTTTTTTTTTCCTTCTCTCTTCAAATATTTTACACTCGGAAAGGAAAGTTTGGAGATAATGCGTTTCCTTTGATCTTCTTCTTCTTTTTCTTCTTTCTTTTCTTTTTTTTTTTTTTGGTGTCAAATCGTTGTTCCGATATTTTAAATATCGTCTCTTACAACGGGGAGGTGAGGATTACAAATTAAGAAAGTAACGAGAAGGGAACTATTGTGTTTTGCTCGAAACATTGTCCTAAATAATGTAAGTGTGTTATTATAACCAATAAGGTATCCTATGCTTAAGTTTAATAATTTCTCTCAACGTGTTTTTTCGTAGGATATATACATATATATATTGCGTAGCAATTTTTATCCTCTAACCTATCTTTTTACTGCTGATCCTTTATCCGCTCGCATCGATTTAACGCTTTATAGATTTTTTAAAGTGCTCGCTTAATATTGTATTACACATAGCGGTAGAGTATGTATAATCGCTAACCAATCGTTGCTACAATCGTGATCGTAGGTAAGGAAAATTTGAACTTTGGAATGTCGTTGAATGCACTTTGAGAATGCCAATTTTTTTTTCTTCCTTCTTTCTTTTTTTTTTTTTTTAAAGTAAAATATTTATATACAGATACTTCGAGTTTTTGTTAGGAGTTTTTCAGCGAAGAAAATTATTCGAACGAAACTCGTTAATCGAACGCTTACACGGCAAGAGATCTCATACGGGATAACAGCTATGCCTGACTAATGATCGACTTACGCTACTTTACGTTTCCACTTGGATTAATAATCCTAAACATTATGACACGTGATATTTGATAAACATAATCGATATTATTTATCTACTACGAACGAGGTAGCATATTTAAAAACGTATAAAATGATATTCTGCGTAAAATGTACGATTTTTCCTCGATAATTCTTATATATATATATATTTATGAAGAATATTATTCAAATAATGTCAATTATATTTATCGAATATCAACTTTGTTATAATGTTAGGATTATTAATACATATTATTTTCAGTGATGGGACAAGAGAAATTCCGGTTGTAAATTAAATTAAATGATCTTACCACATTTATCAAATATCTTATAGCTTTGATCATCGAACATGCCACAAATTGACCCATTAATTTCAACCCTGGCATATCTTCCAATACATTCCAACCGGGCTATCGGTATTTGTGCCAAACACGCTTGATGACAGATTTCTGACGTGTCTATCAGATATCCAGTTAAACCGTTTAATAAACATTGGCTGCTACGATAGATATTTTTACGTAATAATTTCTCAAAGTTCATTTAATGACGGTGGCAGTAACCTTAATCTGAAATCTCCCGAAGAGGAAAAAAAAATTCAATCGGTCATCACCCTACAACGGAAAAGTATCAAGTTCCGTTACGATTAACGTTACTGAATACAGAATAACAATTGTAATTGTACAACAATTGATATATCATCGAACTGAATTATTATGCACCTGACTCCACAAATGTAGAATCGGTAGGTCCAGTAGACGAAAGTAGTAGTAGTTAGTAGGTACGCCTTAATAGCAACAATTCTCGCAAATATACGTTGAAGAAACTAGCTACAGTTGACCTGCTCCGTTCTTAACTAGCTGAGAGTTTTTGCAACACGTAGCTAAGAGAAAAAACCGTAAGTAGGCTTTAGTGTGACACTAAATATCTCTGAATTTATCGATCCTCTCTTTATATATCTTATTATATATCTTCTTCTTGTTCTCTTCTTCGATTATGTACGATTAATTGCAAGTAATTTTTTTTTTTTTTGTATTACACAGTTTTCTTTCTATACAATTATTTATATATATATATATACATATAGAAAGCAAGTTTTTACTACTAGTATTATCAGTAGTTTGCTCTAGTTATAATATTTTTACATTGACATTATTATTAGTAGATGTGGAAATAAACAAGTTTACAATCATCTACCCTGCACACCACTCATTCACAATTAATACTCAACTTTTAGAATATTTTTCAATTCTCCCCGGATTCTCTTCTCATTTAAACATATGTAATAACGTTTTTCTTTTTCTTAAGGATTACAGATAATACTCGAGTAACATCGGAAACGATCGATTAACGCACACTACAAGCGATTCTAACAGATCCTCAACTTTTTCGAGATTATTTATTTCGATACAAACTAACTAAAACTCTGCTATAAATAAATAAATATATATATATATATATACTCGACGACTAGAATATATAAATCATCTCGAACAAACAAATAATCTCCACCCTCGATTCCATCTCTTACTCCACATATCACAAACATGACGTGAATTCAGAACAGAATCGCCAGAAGACACTTGACATAAGTTGAGAGCTTCGTTGATTGCGTAAAGTTGCTTTTGTTCGAAAAGTATGTGGGTTCTCCCCCCCCCCCCAAAAAAAAGAGTAGTGGAAAGCAAGATTCGGTATGCGTGAAAAAAAAAAAAAAAAATTAAATTTCGACCCGTCCCCCAATCTACGACGAGGAAAGAGGGTACTGGTCGACGACTCGTTCCCCATTTTTTTGGAAGAGATACGAGGTAAAAGAGAGAAATCAGAGCCGTTACTTTGAGAGGAGAGAGTAACGGAAGAGAGTAAATCGCACTCGGCGCGCGTAGATTGGTGGGCGGGTGGTAATCGCGTAATGCACATGTCACAGAAAGGAAATATTTTTCTCTAACTCGCAGGGCGGGGTGAGCGCAAAGACAGCGTCATGAATATTCCGGAGAGGTTTTACGATCGCAACAGTGAATCGGACGAGGAAGAAAAGTGGAGGTAAGTTGGAACGAGAACTACAAAGGGATAAAAAAAAAAATCATAAGCTTGATTCGAGTAAAATTGTTTCTCCATCGTGAGGGAGAGAGAAAAAAAAAAGAGAAAAGTTGTTGAGATTATTTTTTATTCCTTTGGACGCGATATGCGAGATTCTTTTTTTTTTTTTTTTTTCTTAGTTAAAGTTTATCTTTCGTGTAAGAAATAACGGAAAAGAAGAAATGGAAATCGCCAAGTTTAATCAAAGTTGAAGCAAGCTCGATATATTCCGATATTTCTTTTTTTTTTTTTTTTTTCATAATAGTTTGAAAATTAATCCCCGTTCTGTATCGTTTATCCTTTGCAGATATTATTTAAACTTTGTTTCCTCTAAAAAAAAAAAAAGAAAAAAGAAAGTATACGCGATACGACGAAGAATAAACGTAAAGTAAGCTAATCCATTTTAGTTTTTCCTTTTCCCAAAGTTTATCGTATCGTGTAGAGAGCGTCGTCTTTCCGCGTTGATATATTAAATGATACGTTCTCTCTGAATTTTAGTCAGCCAACGAGAAATGAAAATGGCGTTAACGCGAAGCTGGGTCGCGGACAGGTGCCACCAAAGGGATTCAAGATAACAGCTGGTAAAGAATCTCGCAATTTATCTTATTAATAATCGTTTCGAATCAATTTCGATTCCAATCTCGAAACCGATTCTTCTCTTCTCTCTATCTATCTATCTCTTTCTGTCTCCGTTTCCCATTATAATTGATCAAATCCCAAGAAGAAGAAAGAAAATTTCAAGTGAAATTTGCGTGAATTTTTCACGGATTTCAGGAGGTCAAAGTGGCGAGGTGAAACTGGGTCTCTGCCTGAGCAAAGGAACGCTTGAAGTCGAAGTTATATGCGCTCGAGACATTTGTCCCGGTGAAAAAGAAGAGCCAGGTAACTTTCTTTTTTTTCTCTTCTTTCCATCATTAAAATTGTCCATTCTTTCTTAACCCTTTCCCTACTACGGGCGAAATATACCCGTTATCGAGTAGCATGGAAACGTAGCATCGATATTTTCATCATCAATTCTTTTTTTCCAATAAACACCGTCCAAGCAACTCGAATTGTTGCAAACGCGGCCGCTTCACGATCTTTCTCGAGCACATTTTTGATGCATATGGCGGAGAAGTCGCCCGTAGCGAAAGGGTTAATGACGACGAGACGCGAATACACTGACGTTTCAAGACGAGACGAGTCAGGAAGCATAAAGAAACACGGTCGCGTTGCTGTTCGATAAGGTAAAGTTGAAGATCAATTTATAGAGGTTCCTTTGAACGATATATTCACTGATGTCGCTCGTCGTTTTCGACGATGACAATTTACCACGGTTTTTCCACGAGTCTTGATAAAAATCGCATCAACGCTTGCTTCCGATAGAAAGCAACGATTTTTCGTTACGAGATATTTCTAATTTTTTTTTTTTTTTTTACTATGAAAATTACAAGTCTACTATGAAAGAGCAACGAAGCGCTGTTAGAAGAGTACTAAACGATTCGTTTTCTCAAAAATCCCTGCTTCGCAGACACATACGTGAAAACGTATCTCCGAGACGGCGACAGATGGCTGCAAAAGCGGAAAACGCGGGTGGTGCGACACTCGAGGAACCCGCAATACCGTCAGACCATCAAGTACAGCAGCTGCGACGCCCTTGGAAGAAATCTACTGGTGATGCTGTGGGAGAAGAAGCAGGCGTTCGAGAGCAACCAAGGGCTAGGCGGGGCCGAGGTGAGCCTCGACCTTCTTCCACTGGCGCAGCTGACCGTCGATTGGTATCCCTTGTTCCCGATTCACACCCTCGGCACCCATACCGCGGACTCCCCATGATGGCTGAGGGAAAAATGGGCCCTCGAGGCGGGGGAACTCGATCTGAGGCTGAGCCTCCTTCTCAAGGACGAGAACGAGTCTGTCGTGAAAATTATCTCCTGATCGAGTCCAATCTTCCACTCGTCGCTTCTTCCCTTTCCTTTCTTCCATTTATTCCACCAACGCATCTCTTTTCTTTTCCCAATATTTTAGAATCGATTGATCGCACAATGTCCACGATTCGTCCATCCATCGATAATTTTGAAAGAAGAAAAATGAGACGAATTCAATATTTTCACGAGACGATCAATTACTCGTCGTTGGACGGATGATTCGTCATTCCCGAGCTCCCAATTTTTCCCCCCCTTCGCTTTTGTTTCCTCACTTTTAAAAATCACGCTCTCGTACAGTTGATTTTAAACTCGGTCCCTTCCTTCTACGGAAAAGAAAGAAAAAAGAAATCGAAGAGCAGATCGATATCCAATATCGAATCTCTCCACACAGACCAGCAATTTTCCCCGAATTCGTTCCCGAATATCCTCCAAGGTTCTAGCAATAAGGACGTACCTGTGCAGATCTATCTATCTCCACGAAGAAGCGAACAAGAAATTACGAGAGAGAGAGAGAGAGAGAGAGATTCTATTTTTTTCATGAATTATTAAAAGCAACAAAGGAGGCAACAAAAGAGGGAGAGGAAGGAAGATACCACGTCTTGATTAGAGAGGGTCCATTTTTCTCATTAATTAAGGAACGACAGTGTCGAACGAGAGGCGATCGACATCTGTCACGGAAAACGCGCGTGCTCTGGTTGATCCAGATTTGCGATTCGATCGGGTCTCGTGGATAACGTACGAACCGAATACGGTGAAATAAATATATACATACATATATATATATATATACACACGCGCGCGCGCGCGCACGTGCGTGTTCACCACGTGAACATGCGGTTAAGTACTTTCTTTTCGTCGAGGAACCGTCTCGATCGATACCGATTCACTCGAAATAAGATCAAAAATGAGTTTCGAAAAAACTCGTGATCGAATAAGAAAGAAGGACAGGAAAAACGTGAGAAAGAAAAGAAGTGAATGGACGAGACCGAGACGATTCCTTGGACGAATTATTTAACGGTTCAGACAATCGTTTTAATCGGCTCGCTGGTCGAGCCGAGCACGATAAGCGATCGGTAAATGGTTACCAGGAACAACTTTACGGGCGACATGAATGGCAATTGGGGGGAAAAAAGAAAAAGAAAAAAAAGAAAAAGAAAGGAGGAAAAAAAAGAAAAAAATAACAAACAACTTTGGTGTTTAGAAGTACACGCAATTTTTGTAGCTCGTAGACTGACAACAAACAGAGATTCCTTTACACTCGCAAATTTAACAATCGTGTAACAATGGTATCCGGAACGGAAAGGAGATGAAAAACGATCGAGAGGGCCGCTCGAAGAAAAATTCTCGCCACTTTCGTGTTCCCCTCCATCCCAGAGGAGAACCCCGTAAAATGCGTCGATATCCCGTAAAATTATCCAATTTACACACTCGTGGAAATTTTGAAATTCGATTGATGTTCGATCGATAGCGGCCCTTCGACGCGTTAAACGCTCGAACGTTTCGTTCTTTCGCTCGTACACAATCGCGAGGAATAAATCGTACGATGAAAACAAGGATACGATCTGAAGGCAATTCTCGAGAGATGTCGTTGAAAATTGAAAAATTGGGAAGCGAAAGGATGGAAACGCGAAGCGACACAGTATGGACGGCAATTCGTCCAAAAGTATTGCGCTTACCCCGCCCGAGTTAGAGCAGAACAGAAAAATTATACTATATATAAATATAAATATATACATATATATATATATACATACACATATACATACATATATCAAATATAAATGATTCGATACATACGTATGAGAAAAAATGACGCGCGTGACGAAAGTATTATAAAGTTGCGTTCGCGGTACGAGATACTTTTACGAGATAATTCTAGCACGGAGTAATCAAAGAAAACCAAGAAAAAAAGGAAAAAAAAAAAAAAACGTGTATCGATGGTTAATAATAGAAATCGACGATTTCGCTTCGACCAAGCCCCGAAACAAACGGATCTAGCCTTTATCGTTGAAATCGAACGTTGAATAAAGAAAAAGAAAAGATCGAATCTCTCGAAAATTATTCCTTTCGAAGGAAAGATTTTAACTTTTCGAACGTTTCTTCGAAAGATAAAATATTCATCCTTTTATATTTCCTTTCTTCTTTTTTTTTTTTAATTCGTTCGAGTAAAAGTTTTTCGGAACGATAAACGACAAAAAGTTTACCACGGACCACTCGACAAACATGTACGCGCGCGATAAAGGTTAGAGAATCCGTTTATCAACGCGTCATTGTTACGTTTCGGACGATGACCTTCTCCCAGCGATAAATGGAGAGTCGTATCGGGAAGAGAGAAAAGCAAGGGATCATCTCTTGGTCCAAACTTGGCTATCCGGTTTCTATCGATCGCTTCCGAAATCCTTCGATTCTTTCCCATCTCGAAAAATCTATCTCGAAAAATCTACCGATTTTCGTCTCGAGAACTCGACTTGTAACGTCTTTCAACGACTTGATCGTCGTTTCTTTTGCAAAAGAAAAAAAAAAAAAGAAAAAAAACGAATGAACATTGACGAAGGAAAGAGAAAGAAAGACACGAGCAGATTGTTGACGACACAAGAAAAAAAAAAAAAATCTGATCGGCCTACAAACATATCCTAAACCTGTTTCTTTAAGGGTGCATCAGGCACGAGGACAGTTTCGACGATACTCTGCCTCCTCGAACGTGTCCTCGTCCGATGTTTTAAATCGCACGGACAATCCTTGTTGTGAACGAATGCAATCATGTGTAAACCTGTAGACGAAAGGTTTCCTTCCTTTCTAAAAACGGCTAAGCACACGCGTTTTCTACACGTATCTCGACGATGCGAACCTCTCGCGTCAATTATCGACCGCCATCGTATCGGTTGTCACGTATTTTTGTCCCCATATTTTGCTCTTTCCTTACTTTCTTTCTTTCTTTTCTTTTCGTGGCAACGCTTGCACTCGTCGTAGTGATTCTTTTCGAACGAAGCTATTCTCGAGAAAAATTCGAAAAATTTTGGCCAGAAATTCGATACCTTTTTTTTTTTAATCCTCTGAAAACTTCGAAACTCTCGTAGAAATTATGGATAGATCGCGCGATCTTGTTTCGTTCCAAACCCGCTATTCTCTCGTCGAGGAATTACTCGCGATAATCATTTTAAAACCTCTGAAAAAACGACGAAACCGAGAATTGTAAACGGGGAGGAGAAGGAACTGCTCCCCTCCCTCCCCTACACCGTCGTCACTTTTTTCTAACGAAAAAAAAAAAAAAAAAAAACAAGATTCAACAGCCTTCCGATGTCGAGTACGAATCGAGTCTGCCTAACTTTGTGACTACTATAAATACTACTACATACATAAATACTATATATATATATACACACACACATATAACATAGGTATTTGAATATAAAAGAAATCTATATATATATATATACACATACATATTATATATATATATATATACATACAATATATATACATACATACATACGAGGATAAGAAATGCATATACATATATCGAAATTGACAATCGAGAGATCCACAACTGTGTTGTGCGAGTACTTTTAGCGGATATCCCCCCGTAATTTTACGTAATTGTAAATTACGATGACAATCACGTGTAAAGTGATCGTGGATAGGCAATGCGCGTCATCGATATAATTGTAAATGTATGTACCTGCGACCACGTACGTCAAACAATCGATCCCGCAGGACAACGCAAGGGGAGCGATGCATCTCGAGAAACGGTTATGAGAATTTGCGAACGTCCCGTTCTTGGGGGGGGGGGAGAATTACGGTTAAGAAAAAAGAAAGAGAAGAAAAAAAAAAAATTAGGATTACATCCAAGCAACAACCTCTTCCCGTACATATCGGTGTTGTATGTACTCGTTCTAACTCGTTCTAAGTGTCGAAAAAGACAATCTCGTCTCGAGTCCATTGCGGCCGCTGCGCATCGAGAGACAAAAAAAAAAAAAAGAAAAGGAGATCAAGAGATTAATGATAACGCGACTGATCACTGTGATCGATTATTAACGAGAATTAAGATGAAGAAGAAGAAGAAGAAGAAGAAAAAAGAGAATTCTAATTTGCTTTCGATTAGAAATATACACACGGCTGAATTTAACGTAGACACGAGATGTAGAGTTAGATTAGTGGCCTGTCGCTGTGCATTTCTATCTACGTCCCCTCTCCGAGTATAACTTTATATAACGATCTATAAGATATTTAACTCTAACAAATAGGCGAGGTTTCTAGATTCTTAAAAACTTAAAACTTGTTATTACATTGTCAACATTTTAGAGAGTATATTGATCGAAAACGAGGTAGAGTGCCACGAGAGTAGAATAATCGTGAATAAGAGCCGAGAATTTTCAAATTCTTTTTCTATATAACTTTAATCTTAGAGGAAAAACTGTTAGATAGAACGACAGTGTTTCGAGTGTCGAATGACAATTCAACGCAACTTCCGCTTCCGTTCACCTTCCTCGACGAACTTCGAACGATAAACTCGCACAGTTCCCTTTGGCATAGTTTCGTACAAACTTGTATAAGTAATATGCTCAATTACGGCCTAAATCGTGGAAAGAAAAAAAAATAGAAAAAAGAATAAAAAAAAAAAATAAAAGGCGAGCGAGCGTGAAAAATATTTAAATATTTTGGACGAGTGTGTTTGATCGATGAATATCGCCATCTTCATTAGCCGCGAGTCCCAGCTAATGAAAATCGGTCGATCGCTCGCTTGAAGTGTAATATAATCAACGCTTTGAATGTCGAGTGAATAAAAAAAAATCTGAAAGCTGGTGTTTAGCGGGGTTAGAAAACACTTGATTGCCAAAGGATGACAATAATCATCCAACACGTAGCGACGATGTTAGTCGTTGAGATCTTACATCATCTTGAGACGTACACTTCTGCGCGTCTGAAATAAAACTTTCGTACGATCGAAAGTTTATCCGATTCTTGCATGGCTC